TTAATTGGATAATCCAACTTACCACTAGGTGTGAATGTGAGTGTGAATGGTTGTCTGTCCCTGTGTGTTGGCCCTGCGACAGACTGGCGACCTGTCCAGGGTGTACCCCGCCTCTCGCCCTAATACAGCTGGGATAGGCTCCAGTGCCCCCCGCGACCCTGAAAAGGAAAAGCGGAAGCGAATGGATGGATGGATGAATGCCCATAGGTGTTTCATGGTGACTGCTGTCTTGCGAGACTGCTTTTGGGGGAGATGCAGTATGAAAATAAATAAGTTGAACAATAATAATAATATTACAAAATTACTTAGTGTCTCTTTTTTTCTCAGTGAATATAATTTTTAAATATGGGTTTGTAACACTAACAAATCATTTCATGTAAACATTCTTAGCTCACAGACTGCACACACAAATAGTTACATTCCCGAGTGCCTCATTTTTTAGTTGTTACACGTTGTTGTTACCCTTCTGTCTTTTCCCTTACATTAATAAAAAGATTTGCGCAGTAAATGAAGTTCTACAAATTCAACAGGATAAAAAAATGAAACACTTGATACTCCGAACAGGTGATTACACACCCTTATGTGTCGACCCCAGTACTCAGCTCACGTCCACAGTGGACAATCTGGTGCATCCCATTATTTTTAAGGGAGCCCAGAGTATGAAGACCGAGCAAACTTATGACTATTGTAATAGTTGTTTTGCATATCAGAGAATTTGCTTAATTTCAGTGTATGGAGTCATTAATTCAGTTTAATGTTTTATACTGGTTCATCCAATGCTTGCATGCTATATTCCTATAAAGATTTTCTGCTATTATACCCTCAACTTTACAATTTTGCAAACGTGTAAAATAAAGCAGAGACTAAGAATGCATTTGCATGTTTACAGTTTCTGAGCTCATATATTCAAGGGTTTGAAGGGTTCTCTCACAGCCCTTGAGAGACTGCCTCAGTCCACCCTCCATGTCAGCCATATTTCATTCAATAAGTAGCTGTAACCGCCACATTAACTGCGCACACATCGAAAGAGCTGCCCTCTGTCATGAATGTGTGTGTCGGTGAGTGTGGGAGAAAATGTGAAGATGCAACAAGGTATTGTGTGTGTGCGTGTTTAATAGATTGAGGTCTCCTCTGCTCTTGGCTCCATTGTTTCACGGTTGTCTTAAAATCTCAGCGAGATATGGACTGTCACACTGACAGGCTCCAGACTCAGACATCCCAGAGAGCCTAAATTAGCACATGATTGGCAGGACTGTTCATTTTCTCCTAGAGTCTGAAGTGCTGTTTAGAGAAAGGTGAGGTTAGCTTGGAGTGTTAAATGTGTATTTTGCTCTTCATCTCCTACACACACTAACTTGGTCTCATACACACACATAAAACCACATATCAATTAGGCAGGGTCATGAAGTTTCTTACACTGAGCACTCCCTTGGGTCCGTCTTGTGCACGCTGACATGCCATTGAAGCGTGTGCATATGTGCTTTCAGTGTAGACTTTGTGGGCTTTTATTAACCCTCTCAGGCGCAAATTAAGTTTGTGTTGCTAATGCACAAAAGAATACCTGCAGTGGTACTTCTGAGTAAAAAATACCTCATAAAATATGTATGTGGGGTAATCAGGTTGTTAGCTTTTAACTGTTGCAAATCTGCAACGCCTGCCTTGAGAGGGTTAGAGTGGAGAGTAGGAATCCAGGAATCTTGCAGGCAGGATTCCGTGTTAGGACCAGTTCTTATGGTATTATAGTATACTTCCCTTAGGCAGTATCATTAGAAAGCACAGTATACATTTTCACTGCTATGCAGAAGATACTTTATCTATCCATGCAGCCAGATAACACACAGTTAGTTAAATGCAGGAATGTCTTAAAGACACAAAGACCTGGATGACCTCTAATTTTCTGCTTTACAATTCAAATCTTGGAGACATCGTCTGTAACCCGAGACTTCTGAATGGCATGACAGTGGAGCCTTTTCAACCAGGATATGACTTTAAAGAAACATGTAGGATTCTTTCTTGCATTTGCACAATATCTCTAAAAGGACAAACATCCAGTGTCAGAGTGATGCTGAAAAACGAGTTTATACAGGGAGTGCAGAATTATTAGGCAAGTTGTATTTTTGAGGAATAATTTTATTATTGAACAACAACCATGTTCTCAGTGAACCCAAAAAACACATTAATATCAAAGCTGAATGTTTTTGGAAGTAGTTTTTAGTTTGTTTTTAGTTTTAGCTATTTTAGGGGGATATCTGTGTGTGCAGGTGACTATTACTGTGCA